CAAGTAGGACAGTATTTGGGACATTCCTTATATTCATCTTAATATCTTGATTCAATAGGGTAATCCACACAATGCATATCTCTCATGGAGAGATGTCGCCCTAAATCAACCCTTTAAACGCTGCCAGTACAGCATGCCATGATGGGATTTTTTTTAATCAATATGTGGGCACCTGCATGCTCGTAATTCCATTAACTCTCAATGGAAATTAAATCGTAATTTTTGGCAACCTTTTAAAAAAATGTCAGTCGTTATGCTCTTTTAGGCAAATTTGTGAATTGTGATTTTTGGCCATATGAATAAAATGACTACTTACCGCTTAAAAAGTACTACAAGGAAATTCATTTTGTGTCAATTTTTGGGGGTCCATGTGGACAAAGGTGGTAGTGTTTCCGAGCACCAGAGTCCCTGAATAAAACCTCTCATTTAACTGCAGCAGGGGTCTGACAGTAAATTTGAATTTACAGTAAATCTTACAGCTTCATAGAACATTTTATAGAATCACACAGTTTGTTTTTTCTCCAGATATAAGAGCAATTGAAGTGTGTTGTGACATAATCACCGATTTATCCCTCTGGTACATTCCTCACTCACGTCGCGTGGTGTAATAATGAATGTGTGTTGTACACTAATTGGATTAGTGCTATATATATATTCAGATCCGCAACAATGGGGTAAGCCTCAAGCACATGCGTTTGCGCACGTGCTCATTCTTGTGTACTTATTGTGTGAGTGAATGTTTGCTAGTGTGAGCATGTTATGCAAATGTGGGCGTGCGAAATCGGTGCGCTGAGGGTGTTAGTGTGCACAAGGGAGGAGACACAGGCAGTGAGGCTGCAGAGCTGTGAGAGTGACCTGAAACAAGACAAAGTGTGCATTCTCAGTGTCTGTCATGTGGAGGGCTTCTTCAAAACATTTTGTTAGCAGGTATGTGCAACTGTAAGTTCTAGTTTTCTGTGCTTTACTCTGCTTTCGTTGAACTTGAAGTTCTTGTACACACATTATATTCCATCAGGTGAATGATTGCTACAATAGAAAACCGTGGAACAGAAAAGATTCTTAACAGCCAAGCCTGTAGAGACCAGCTTTTCCTTGTGTTACTTTTTGCCACAGTGACTAAAGCATATCAAAGTAAGTGACTGTAAAATGTGCAAAGAACTATGTCAGCAACCATTAGACAGCAGCAGAACTAATTCTAATTAGGGATGAAGTTGGCTGCATTTATTTCAATTCATTTGCATTTTTTGTCAAATGCCCTCAGATCTTAAACTACCTCAGGACGCTACTGACCCCAGAAAGGAGGGCAAGTGTATTTGTAAGGCCCGTCGCAGATGTATTTTTAATGATGATCATGATTTTTGCTGTTCTTTTGATAAAGTGAGCCCCTTTGTAGATAATGAGCAAAACATAAGTCTGTTATGTAAAGGGAGTTTTAATCCGCAATCTCTTGCAACCTCACTTACCCAATGAGAGAGTTGGGGAACCTTTGGTTAAATTCTGCCAGCTTTCTCTGAGCATCTTAGAAAATGAAACCGAACAGCGTGACGTATTAGATGTTGAAGGATATGTACATATGGAAAATATCTCATTAGGGCATGCCTGAGAGTAGTCAGATTACATTACCGTGCCACGGTATAAATGAGGGGATTGCTTATCTGCTGTAGCGTTGCATGAACATTATATTAATTGATTTAAGCTTGTTTATTTTCAGCAGGATTTTCAATAGAATCAGCGGGTTTGGGTGAATAAAACAGTTTGAGCAGAGATTTGCAATAGATTTCAGACTTTAAACGTTCACAACAATCACCTTCTCACTGTGACAAAACGCTCGCTTTCACGTTCCGTTTCACAATGAAACTTCTCATTGAGAACTCTGTCAATGAGTGACATTATGCTATCTTTATGAATTGAGAGTGAGTCTGTCAACATGTGGTCTATTGTACAGCAGGGCCGGAAGTAGTTTTACCCAAAATAATACCTGAATGTTTATAGCCCAGTTATTTTCTGTGTCTGGAATCAGTACAGGTGCAGTATGCACAAAACAGAGGCAAGGATTGAGTCTCATTTCGACACAGTGATTACTCTGTGGGAATGCCAACTATCCCATTCCCTCTCCCACTCACATCACATGAGAAAACAGCCAGTCTGAGAGCAGCCAGGATACATTTCACTATGGGGACTGTATGAAGTCAATGGCACATTCTGAGCCTACTCTAATAAGCTGTTTGTTCATAATGTAGACATAAACTCTTAAAAAAAGGACCCAAAGGTTTGTCCCTGAAGGGCTGAAGTTCTACTACTTCTTGGTGGAACAATTACACAGTAGAAGGGTTGTCTGTAGAACCTCTCCCAGGTTTCTGGTTAGAACCTTTCAAATATGGTTCTGGGCATAACCCTTTATGTTGGGTTTCAGGTAGAACCCTCTGAAATGGTTCCAGGGGGAACCTTTAAAATGGTTCTACCATGAACCAAAAAAGGACCCTATATAAGTCTAGTTAGCACCTTTATTGTGTAAAGTGTAGGACACTATATTGATAGTTTTACATTAAAAAATAATGGTGGAGTAATAGCAACACAATTTTACCAAAGGACAGCCCAAAGCCAGTGATGGTATGCAGCTGGTGAATGGTTCCCAAAACAAACCATTGTTGGCTGTACACAGTGTCTGTCATAGCTGTCATGACTCACCACTCTCATCCTAATTTACCCACATTAGGCCACTTTGTTCTGCCGTGGGGCTTACATGCTCTGCCATCATTGTTACTACAGAGTTCCCCATTAGTCCTGCCATGTCATGCTGCCAGTCCTTATTATCTCTACATCCATCATCCATCTAACCATCTATCTATTGTATCTGTCCATCCGTTCCAGTTGATCATCACAGACCCCAGCGCTGTGATCCACATTCCCCTTAATGATCAGTCACAGTGTTGGACTCCAGCCAGAGTTGCTTGGCGAGAATCAACATGGATGGGAATGGGAGTTTGTCAGGATGCAGGCTGAAAAGAAGACGACAGAGGAGTTTTTGTGTGTGTGTGTGTGTGTGTGTGTGTGTGTGTGTGTGTGTGTGTGT